TAACACACAGCAAACCAATAACGTCTAAAGATCAAACAAAAAAGAAAAAAATGAACGTCTTTAAGCTTCCACACAGCTTGAAGACCCAGAGGCTACAGTAGTCAGCTAGCAGACAGTGCTCCTTCTCATGTAGTGTAATTAAAGAGAAGACGGGGCTGTATTGACTAGGAAACCACTGCATGCCCTTGAAGGAACATCTGTACTGGAGAAAAACAAGGCAATTATACAAAAGGGTAGAGAAGGGGAGAGGAGGGCTCTGTAGCAGGGCGGATGGAAGAAAACACATCATACCCTGATAAACCAACAAAACAAATCCTGATACATTAAAGAAACAACCCGGGTCTGTTTTAGCTTTATTCTGCCAAAACAAAGCTTGAAAAATGCCCTACCCCAGGACTGCTTAGCAACTTTTTGTTTTTAAGTGTAGCTTTTGGAAAACCTTTATCTGCTTTCTTGATACCTCGAGGCGCTCCAGATGAATCCATTTACCCCGACCTCGGACCGGTCCTTAGAGAGAGAGGCAATCTGCTCTAAACAATACTGCTGCTCTCAGGTCTGTGTGAGAACAACTGAGCAGAAATACAACATAAACATCAACTATGAGAAGAACCAAACTGTGTGCTTGCATTGTTCACAATGTGGCATTCTGTTTAAACCCTTTTTCCACTCGTAACAAAGTGATTTTAACATTTTTCTTATTTTACATGGCCACATGTGCACAGATAAGGGATTGATAACATTGCAGGAAGCTCCCAAAAGGACTACCAGTCCAAGAATAAACAAAGACAAACAATAAGCGCTGCAGAGAAAGATACGGTCACAAGGGGAAAGAAGCAGGTTTTATTTCCACTATTTGTTCTGTAGGCTTCCACAGAGAACCCAAGGTTGTTTGTTAATCTAAACTGACAATGAAGGCGGCACATAGGTCTAAAGGACAATAAAAAAAGAAAAGAAAATAGGGCTGTAGGCTTTGGTGACCGAGGCAACATATTCCCACATTTTCTTCAAAAAAGGCTTTGACACATTTTCTCATGAAACAATCACAAACATCAATGTATTGACTTATGTTCAATGTTGTATCATTCTTTCTAATAATTCATAAAGCTGAGCCGTCCTGTCAACTAACCTGGATCACTGCAGCTCCCTAAAAGTTCCAGGCTACTTGTCGGCTTCTATGATCAATGTCATGTAGAGTCTGTCTTCTACAGTAGATACGGCTCAGATGATGGACTTGGATAAACTTGCTGTGTGAGATGTTTAAAATTCTATCTGGAATTTATTTTTGGTCCCCATCATGCTATTTGTTCAGTAATGTTAAGAAATCGTGGAGCCCTAACCCAAACCCAGAAGAGTTTGACTTATACCAAGATAAAAGCATACACAACTTCATTTACTAATTAGGAGATTTGTTTTCAATTTAATTCCTTGTAGGGCTGGGTGTAATGGCCAAAATATAAGATCTAATTTTTTTTTTTGTCATCTTGGACAATTGCGATTTGAATCAAATTTAAGTGAAGTATTAAAAACTGCATGCATTTATATTAAAAAAGGTTTACTTTATCAAAAAATATAATGTGCAAAGTAACAAACATTTAGCTAACAATACATTTATTGTAAAAAAAATTTATATTATTAACATAAATCTTGTGCAAGAAACACCAATGTTCACTCAACAATAAATTTACACCTATGTATATTCAGTACAAGTGCAAGAAAAAAGTGCTTAATTTGAGAGCTGTTGAGAGCCTAGTTCATGTCGAAATAATACAGAGTTAAACTTATGTTCGGCTGTAGAGATCAACTGGACCATAGGTCCGTAATACTTGAAAATAACAAAACAGAGTTTAACTTTTCACAGCTCGCTTGCAGTGTTTCAACTCGGCGGGTCATATTCTGGATCACACCCTTTTAGCATGTGAAGAAAGCAAGGCTTCTCTACGGTGTAAATGGGCACCATGTTCATCCCTATATGAACAGCTACGGGGTCGGTCATCTGTTTACACTGCACTTGTCGTACGGCACTGCTTTAGAAAATGAGGCGACCAGGGTTTGTGCTATTTTCTTGATGGGGTTGTCTTTGCCCGTGCTCCCGATGCTGCACTCCCAAAGCTGTGAGCGCTTCTCCCACTCTGTTGCGTGCCTTTGCCGGAGATGCTGAAACAAGTTAGTTGTGCTGCTAGTCTTGGTTTTGAAAGCATTTCGACAAACTTTGCACACTACTGTAGTCTGCTCTATATCAGCTTTGTCAAAGCCAAACCACTTCTAAATAATTGATGAAACACAAGTCCCCTTTCAAACTCCTCAGATTGAGCTGCAGCCAAGGTGCGAGTAAACAGTGCACAATTCAGGCAGAAGGACGAAAGAAGCGGCAGAAGAAAACGTACAAGTAAAAAATGCAAAAGACGAGACTTCCACGATTTTATGAATTAGCAAACTTTAAAAAAATGTGGATTAATCAAATTAATTCAATTTATCGCCCAGCCCTAATTGGTTGCACAGGATTTTATGTCAGAGAATCAGAGTAAAGGGGGTATTATACATATGTGTGTGACAATTGTTAACACTATACCTGTAAGTAATCTGGAACAGTGTGAAGCATACTAATGCCTTTTTAAGTGACCGTAGGAGGTAAAAGCAGCAATGAATATAATTTGAAATCAATATTTTCCCAGCATTTTATTTCCAAATGTTGAAAAATATCCTTTTGACTTGACATGTGGTACGTAACATCAAATCTAGCATACCACTGCCAGATAGACAAAGCAACAAGTAGCTTTTATGTACTTTTCATTTGAATGAAAAACCTTCTTGAACTGAAGGCATACAACTTAGTTTTCCTCAATATTTCTCGTAAACATGTTATTGAAGTGGAGTACTTCCTATCAATGTCGTATTTTCTTTGCTTTATTTGCTGATATATGAACCTCCAAAATACTTCCAACAGAAAATGCTTGACCCTACCACTGGGCTAAAGTTGAATGAGAACAACCCTCCCTCGGATTCTTCAATAAACCCCTTTTTCACAGATTTCTTAATGTCCCTCTGGCAAATATTTAGCTGACAAGCTCCAGACTGCCAGACTACCTCATTTCTTGGCAGAGCTACTCTAACCTCAACTGGGTATGTCTCGCTAATACCTGGTGTGTGTGCTGTCTCCATCCTCTCCTTCCTAAACAGCCAGATCTAAAGAAAACATCTGTGTGATGAAGAGGGAGGAAATGTTTTCACTGGCTCACTGACAGCCTTTACTGCCTAACCAAAACAAAGTAAAATCTTTATGTACATTTATGTTTTATGCATTTTTTTTATTTTTGTATGGCTGTCAAATTCAAAGACTAAAGTAGGGCTGCAACTAACGATTATTTTGAAAATCGATGAATCGGCCGATTATTTTTTCGATTAATCGATGAATCGGACACAAAATATTTTTTTTATATTAACCTCTTCATTCCAAAATAAACATTTTAGACAGAACAAACAAGCACACAAGTACAGGTTGCTCATTAACTGTACTGGTGCAATATGAAAAATAAATGTTTGTGTTAAAACTACGCAAACTTACATGAGAAATGTAGCTGTACATCCACAAAATATAGGCTACTTTGTTTCATAAAGCGCAAAAAGAGACAGGCATTTTTGTTTTTAAAAGCCCCTAAGGGGTTCAAACAATAGCCCCCCCCCCATTTCAACAAATGAGGTTTTTTTAGACTAGAAGAGTTCTGCCTTTTAAGACAGGAAAGTATAGCAGTTAAAGTTGCTACTTGAGAAAATCCTGAACCCTAGAGATAAAAATAGCCCTGTGATTCAAATTATAAATTGTATTTGGAATAAAAATGAGAGAACTAGGGGTGCTAAAAAACACATCCTCCAAAGACAGATATTTACATGGGAATGTGGCAAATAATGAATTGACATATTACTGATCTTGCTGGATTTTATTCTGCTTTACTTCCATAAATTGCAGGATCTTCTTTACTTTATCTTTGCCAGAAGATTTAAACTTTAAAAGCCTTGCCCTCATTATTTGCAAGTTAATTTATTTATAAAGAAAATATAAACGCTGCTTAAGCTAATTCAAATGAAATTAAAAGTAAAATAAGAAGCCAACCTTATCACTGTCTGTAACCTACTAACAAGCTAAGGAAAGCATCAGATGAGCTACCTGAGAAACTAACTTACGTTTCCCCACTTTAAAATGAAAAAAACACGGTTACTCATCCTGCTGATCAGCTCTCTTCACTGCCATTGAAGGCTCCAACGTGTTTTCTTTTCAGGTGCTGCGTCATAACAGTGGTGCTTCCGTGCCATGTTCATTTGTTTTTACAAAAGTTGCATGTTACGACTTTTTTCACTTTACAAAGCGCAGGCTATTTTAATTATTGTGATCAATTTGCGCCGTCAATCCCGGCGCATGCGCGCTTCATTTGCAGTCTGGACGCTGAGGGTAAACTCCTCACTAAAATCCTGCGGCTCTGACTGCAGCGCTGAGAGGGATTCTTGTGGGAGAGGGAGAAAGGCGTTGGGATGGGGGAGGCGCCCCACGGCAGCAGCTGCCGCTGTAGGAGAAGAGTAGGAACGATACATGCTTTCACGTAAGAGTCTCCAAAAGCCGCCAGTGACACCGTAAAAAGTCGCCAGATTTGTCGCTAGTAGCTTTTTTTAAAAATAGTCGCTGGAGGGGTCTGAAAAGTCGCTGAGTTGGCAACACTGCAACTGCGGCGCTGACTCGCTCCGCCATATTTTTTTTTTTCTTCCCCGGGATGACGGCGGCGGCGGATGACGCATTAATCGCGCGGCACAACTAATCGATGATTAAATTCGTTGCCAACGCTTTTAAAAGTCGATTTTTATCGATTTTATCGATTCGTTGTTGCAGCCCTAGACTAAAGTCAACTTTACTTGATCATGGAAATAACGGAGAATCCTTGTTGTGTTTCACAAAGTTAGGTAACAATAACCATTTGCCTTGGTGGAATAAAAAAAGAAAAAAAAACACTAACCTTTCTGACAATGGTTAGACGTCCAGCAGCGGTAGTCCTTGTTGTCTTTGAACGACGTTGTGCGACAGATAGGGTTATCCTCCATGATGCCCGGGCAGATGTCGTCACACTCCTTTGGCTCCTTGTTCCGAGTTATAATATTATTTACGTAGCTGTCCATGATCAGAGACCAGTCCACCGAGTCCAGGTAACATAGCTCTCCGTTCTTTTCAATCTGCACTGTTCCACGGGTGATGTTCATCAAGTTGTACAGACCGATGTCCTTTAAGTTGTTCATCTCGTAGATCACCAAAGCATTTCCAAAGAACAGGTTAAGGCCCCGGATGACACTTAGGTTGGGAAAGAGTTTGCTGAGGCTATCCAAGCCAGGGACCCGAAACAGCAGCAGATAGTCAGTGATGACGGTCAGCTTTGGGAAGCTGAGGGTGCGGAAGACCTCCTGGTTGATGTTGCTCGTCTTTTCATTGATTAAAACAATTTGTAGGTAACCTTCCAACACCGTGCAGTTCTCAAGACGCTTGAATTCACTTATGTCATTCCTGATGTCAATACTTGGGCTACAGACTGAAAGAAAGGAAAGCAAAACACATTTTTAAGTGAGAATTGATAAAGTGACAGCAAAAGTGTGTTTGACATTTAAAAAAAAAACAAATAAGACCCCTATACATCATTTTTACTTGACACACAAAAATCCTGAGCTCCAAATTCTTTTGAACAATTCCCTGAACAATGGATGGATGGATGGATGGAAAACAGGAAATATTACTACTCATCACTTTATTTGGATTTAGTTTTTACATATGCATAGATATACGTACAGATATATATACAGAAGAGCTATATGTGTATATATTTTATCTCTTTTTATTCTTTTTTTTATCTTTATTATATTGTATAGTTGGATGTGTGTATATATCATGTAAAACTGTAACTGGAGCGTGTAACAAAAGTAATTTCCCTCTGGGATTATTAAAGTATTTCTGATTCTGATACTCTTTTATTAATACTCTAATACTCATATTAATACTCTTCTTTGTGTGTAAACCCACCCTTATTGCTTAACTTTGCGAGGCTACCTTAATGAAGGTAGTAGTTTCAATGCATTGTATTCTTCGACCAAAAAACAAAACAAAAAAAAAACACTACAATAATCTCCTTAAAGCATCTAATCCTTGCAGTCAAGATGTCAAGCCTGGCATAATGTTTTGTCATGATCTGGAAGCCTGTATGTTGCACCAGGGCTCCACATTTTTAAACCCTCTAAAAGACGTGAGCCTTTTGGTCAGTACCCACTCTAGAGCCTATTTCCTGCAGTAACAAGATACAGTCTATTATGTTAAGATGCACAAGTTAAAATGCTCAAAACACATTTTTGTATATGGTCAGACATAACGCCTGCCTTTAAAAGTAAAATATTTTGTCTGTCACCTCAGATAACCTCAGCATGTACGTGATCCAATTCTCTGAGCTTGGAAAATAACACTTGAAACCACAGTGCTCAGAGCGCCCGCTGGCAACATCCACATAAACCTTTTATTATTGATGACGATCAGCTCTGCCGGTAAACGTTACTATGCTCCGCTACAACGAAAGCTAATCTGTAATTTTCACAATTAAACAAAAACAATCTTAATGCATAAAACCTAAACTTGTCTCGATCTGCCGGGAAAATTCTAGTTTTGGTTGTGCTCAGAGGTGCCAGGTTGTGACACAATCGCTTCTGATGCTACCTTCCAAGCATGCAGTGATGTGTGAACGAGTTTTGACAGACAAGCAGTGGCAACCATCACACCAGAAGTCCCATATTAAAAAAGAAAAGCGCTACAAAAAACTTTTCAAAGGCAGAGGATCCAAAAAAAAATGTCTCATCAACCTTATGTAGTGACATAATGCAAATTATTAAGCATACCCACAATTCACATGTGTTTGCCAAACACACAATACTTTGCTTTTAATCTCATTAAAAGAAAAGCTGAGAGTACATTACAACAAATAAAAATCCTTAAAAAAAAAAGGAGCCATTTTCTTTTCAGCAAGGACAATGTTCAATTAATGTTTATCAAACCTTGATTTGTTAAACCAGTTTTAAGGAATTTGCAATATAAATTAGTTGTATCCATGGTGGAAAGCGACTGCCTTTGTAGGAGTTTCCAATGTTTTGAACTACCCCTCATTTTCTTAAATTTGCTTAAGATATAGACGCACTGGTTAAGAGAAAGATTAGGTAAGCAAATACCCAGTGTGCAAACACAGAGTGTGTAAAGTGCTTCAATGTCAATATTATCTAACTTTGTTACAAAGATAGAACCTTTTTAAAGGAAACCTTGTACTTTATTTAGTCAGCTAAAAAGTTATTTTAGTGAGTGGTTCCCATGTTTTAAGACCTATTCTACAGGTGGCAGTATTTGATCTATTCCATCAGAATGAACTATTATAATTATCATGCATTACCAAACTGAAACAAAATTAGAAGTCGCTTAATAAAAAATAAAGAAAGTATGTTTGTAACTGAATTTGGTGAGAGTTGCAAGGATACCTTTTTATCAAATAAACTTGCCCGAACCACTAAATGTAATTTTTGTATTTGAAATGAGTGATAGATAATACATCACCTTGGCAACTAATGATTATTTTTCAAATCGATTTATCTGTTGATAATTTTTTCGATTAAAAATCCCATAGCCAAAGAAGACTTTTTACGAAATTAAACCAAGTGAAACTCAAACTTTACCACTTGATGAGTTCTGGATAGAGCATATTGGTTATTTTTTTAATCATATATGTAACATGTTTATATATTTTTAAACATCTTGGCATAATTACCGCTCTAAGTGGTTCGCTCTGTCAGCTAAATGCATGTTTTAGAGTCTCTATACTCTAGTTAACAATTAATTGATCATTAAATTAGTTGACGATTATTTCAATAACCAATTAATCACGATTAATCCGATTGTTTCAGCCCTATATGAATTTAAAACATTTTGTTGAATTTTTTCAACCTGATATCTTTTTTTTTAAATCAACATTTCTTTTTAATCATTAACAGCAATAATACACTACTAAGTTAAACATTTTTACATTACTCTCACTTGTCTATTACATTATATTCACTTGTCTATTACAGTTGAAGTTCTTTTTTCAAATTTCACATAATATTTAGGACAGTTTTTATCACTTAATGCTTATATATTGTTACTTATAAATTTTGTTTTAGATATTTATAAGTCTATTAAACTCAAGAATTAGGAATTTCAAAGAAGATGACCTGTCATATCCTCTTTATAGTTAATATAGGAAAAAAACATAAGCTGTTGGTCCGACAGGCAAAGGTCTGAATATTGCAGAGAACATGCTGGCAACAGTTGTTTTAAAAATGGTAATTAGTTGGTCAAAGGCCCACCTTGACATATGAGCTCCTTGGTTAAACCTGTTATGTTCTTACAGAGGCTTAGGATGCAGCCAATGGGACACTGCTGCATCGTCTGTCCAATAAGACAAAGAAGTCTGGAATACATTTCTCTGATTCTTTTCAAAACAGTAGTCAAGAAGATACCTGAGTTTTTTAGCCTGAAAGAAAAACCATTACATTGAAATGTTTTTCTGCGGGAGAATGGAAACGGAATTCACAGAAAAATTGTGCAGAAAATGACCGTTTGATTTGCATGCTTTAAGCCTCTCTGCTTAAAAGCAGAAGTCATATTGTTTATGGAGGGGATGGACGGGTTATATTTGCCCCCGTTGGAGTGTTTCACTCGTCCAAATTTAGAACGGAAACAATTACTCCTGTAGAAAATAGTATTTGCTTTCTCCAATCAACACCAATGCCCCTGGGCTCCACATGTGAGCCATCGAGCTGCATGTCTCCTTTGTATCATTGAGAATTTTCTTCCAGCTTCTCCAGTAGCCGGGGAGCGAGGGAGGAGGGGTGGAGCCACACAAATACAAAGACTAATTTGTTTGTTGGTAAAGAGAAGCTCTGGGCTCCACTTCCTGGCATTAATAAAATCGGGGGCGTCTGGGCAGCGGAAGATAAGATTCCAGCCAAGCCAAGCTATGGAGAGGCCACACGGGTGTAGAACTGCTGCAAAGAGAAACCGCTACCTTCTAAATGTGCCTCTGGAAGTGGTGAAGATTCCAAAAAAAGAAGGCCTGGAATGAGAATACAATAAGGGAGAGGAATGACACAGCCCTCCTCTTTGTGACTCTTATTCTGCCCATTAGGCATGTTAAGTAGCTGGAATTCCAATCATTTCCTCACACAAAAGCTTGAAAAAGATTTTGCCTCCAAATAAGCCAGCAGGCTCCCCCAACCCCAACCAATCCACAAAAAAGCACTTAGATACAACGTTGTTACCATGATTACATCACATAAAAACATACTTCAGGAGCTTTATTCTCATGGAATGATATCCTGCACATGTGTCCATCTACCGTCTGCATTTCTTTGCTCTTCACAGTGCTGAGTAAACACACATATCTCCACAGCGTAACTGGATCCATGGGCTCATGTGTATGATTGATAAACCCTGGCCCTGCCCTCTGAGGAGATGTCAACACGCAAACACATCCGCATACACACCTGCACCAGCACACACACACAGGCAAACATGACCCCATGCACCTCTGTTAAAATTAAACCAAGACTCTAACGGCAAACACTTGTTGAATCCACAGAACATACCCTGTTTGGAAATAATCAACCTTATCTCACACTTGTGTTGAAAAAATATGTACCTTTGTAAAATTGTGTGCTTGATTACTTTACTGTGAAAGAAAACGGCAACCGATACGATTCATTCATTTATTTTTCAGTTGTTGATATTTGGTTAATTAATTTGATTAATAACAATTACAGAGCTTTTTTATTTTATTTTTATCATTTGAACCATTTTTTACTCCTTTAGCTGATAGAATATGTTGGGGCTTTTTTGTTGTTTTTTTCCCCAGAGCTGTATTGTTGGTTTTTCTGTAAACTGCTAAACCTAAAACGTACCAGTCTAAACAATTTTAATACAACAATCAAATAAAACAAAAAGCCTGCAGGTTCATTTAAAGAGATGTTGTTTTGAATCCAACTGAAAAAGAAAGGAATTGAACATAATTTTTTTTATATTGTTGCTTTTTTTTTTTTACTTTTTTTCCCATAAAAATACAGACACACAATGGTGAAACCTTTAGCTTAGCTTTACCAACAATAGCATCAAAGTAAATGCTGTTGGTTTATTTATTCAACGATGTTGGGGTTGCATTGACTGACTTTTTTCTGTTTGTTTTTTGGGTTGTTTTTTTATTTTACACAAGACTAGAGCTGAAACAATAAATTAAATCAATCGGGAGTAATCGATTATTGAAATTATTGTCAACTAACTTAGTAATCGATGCAGCTTTAACTGGAGTATAGTGGCTCTAAAATATGCATTTAGCTGACAGAGCTAAATACATATAAGTAACTTTAAACAAAATATATTTCCTGTGGTAGGGGGATTTTTAAAAAGCAAGTGGTTACTCCACATGCATGCTGCGCGACACTTAGAGCAGTAATTATATAAAAAAAAAAAATAGAT